TGGGGAGCTGCTGGGCCTGGCCAGGCCCCGGCCGGGACCGCGCGAGGCGGCGCCGAGGGAGGGCCAGCCGGCCGACAAACACTGCGCTGGCCGTGTCCTGCCTTCCCCTGGGTCGGCGGGGCGCCCTCAGACGGATACCTCCCTCCTCTCCTTCCCGGCCCCTGTGCCGCCAGCTCGGGGGACTGGAGGCGCGGAACCTCCAGCCCGCCAGCCCCCAGCCCGCCTCAGGGCTGGCGGGTGGGCAGCCGCACTGCTCACCTGGGGCTGGGGTGGATGAAAGGGTGTAGCAGGTCTCCGACCGCCGGGCGGCTCCCGAGCCGGTGCAGCCCCGCCTTCCCCCAGACATCTCGGAGCCGAGGGACTTGTGAATGGCCTCCTTTGTGACTCTCAGTGACAGCGATTAGGCGCTACTATCTGGGAGGATTTGCAGCCTCCTATGCAAACCGAGGACCCCTTTCCGGTTTATAAATTCAGCCGGCCCTCCGCAGCCGCAGGCTGAGCCCACGTGTGCAGCCCCCTCCTGAGCTAGCTGAGCTTCCTGACCCGTCCACCCCGCAGTGGATCCTGCGCCCGGCCGCGCCCACCCACCAGCTAGTTCCTTTTGGATCGTCCTCGCGGCCCCCAGCCCTTTGGCGGACCCTGTGTGTGGCCCTTGCCCAGGCCCGTCCGCATCGGATCCTCTGCCCGGCCAGCCATGCCTCCTTCCTCAGACCTGCCGGGGGGCCGCAGGCCTCCATCCAGCTTCTGCTCCGTGGACTGGCTCTCCCAGAGCAGCCGCCCAGGGCCGACCCACACCTCTAGGCCGGCCGAGGTCTCCTGGGGGAGCCCAACTGCCCCCACCTGGGGTCCCAGCAGAGGAGAGCTCTCCCAGAAAGTGACCATCGGCGGGGCGAGGCCCCTGGATCTGCCAACGCGAGGGATGCCTATGGCTGGTAGGTCTTGAAGGGACATCCTTCCCAAGTGGGGGAGTTGGCGCCATTCTTGCGAGGCAGGAAGGGCACCCCGTCCACATGTGCCGTTCCTGCAGGGCTGTGGGGATGTTCCCTTGGCGCTTCCTTCCGAGGGAAGCTGCCTGCAGGCCCCCTTTCCCCCACATCTGGGTGGTGCTGGCCCAGCCTCAGCTCTCTGCCGGCCACAGCATCTGCCCAGTTCTCCGCTGTGTCCAGGCCAGGTGTGCTGCCCACAGGCTCTTCACCACCATCATCACGACACCCTGCACTTCACCCAGAGTGCATCCTGCCCGGTGGCGCTGTGCCCGAAATGCTGCCCAGTTCTCACCGTCGTGCACCGTGACGGCTGCCCAGAGTGCAGCCTGGTTCCTTCTGTCCCTCACGGTGGTGCTGTGCCTGAAACGCAGCCCAGTTCTCCCTGTCTGTCATGGCGGCGGCTGCCCGAGTGCAGCCTGGTTCCTTCTGTCCCTCACGGTGGTGCTGCGCCTGAAACGCAGCCCAGTTCTCCCTGTCTGTCATGGCGGCGGCTGCCCGAGTGCAGCCTGGTTCCTTCTGTCCCTCACGGTGGTGCTGTGCCTGAAACGCAGCCCAGTTCTCCCTGTCTGTCATGGCGGCGGCTGCCCGAGTGCAGCCCGCTTCTCCCCACCCCTCACAGTGGCTCCAGCATCTTAGTGGTTTTTAAGCTCCACGGAGAGCCTTGAGACCTGGGTTATTGGGGAAGAGCATGAGCCCGGCCCAGCGAAGAGGTCATCATTGGCCCCCAGCTTGCTCCCATTGCCAGGCGACCTGGAATCTTGCTGGTTAAGAGCTTGGCGGTGAGGTTGAAGGCCTCTGGGGCCAGGCTGCTCAGGAAATGCTGCCCAGGCGTTTCTGTGCCTGAGTCTCCTTCGCTTTGACCCCAGGCCTTTCTGACCCTCTGTCGCACTGACAGGAACTTTACCTCAGTGTGTCTCAGTTCATTGGGAAGAAGCCATTGCTTTTAGGTTTTAGGTCCTCCTTGGTCAACAGTGGGAGCTCTGGTGGTGTAGTTCCTAAAACACTTGACTGCTAAACAGAAGGCTGGCTGTTCAAACCCTCCTTGGAAGGAAAAGTGGGCAATCTACCTCCGTAGAGACACCACCTCGGAAATCCCAGGAGGGGTCGCTATGAGTCGGGTCCGACTTGATGGCAGTGTGTTTGGTTTGGTTGGTTTTGGTCAACAGTGGGGTTGATGTCTGTGCAGGTGAATTGCTTCGGAAAGTTGGAATGACTGGCTTGTGAGGATTTCATACTTGGGTGGGGTGAAATACTGGATGTATTTGCCCCAGCCAGTAACCTCCCTCCTCGCCAAGCCCTGTCTGTGCGTCCATCCGTTGTCAGCCCTTCCCAGCGGCTGCTCCGCTCCCAGCCCTCTGCCCTTCACCCTCCAAAACCGTGAAGCAGGAAGGGCAGCCAGCACTTGGACTTCCAGAGCAGTGTTCAAATCTGCTTCCCCCGGACACCCTGATCTGCTTCCCCCGGACACCCTGATCACACGCGTGTGCTGACCACGGGGACACTCAGCTCCTTGACTTTCGTCTTGTGACCACACAGCACCATTCTTGGGGTGCTTAGGGAGCCCCTCACCCATCTTAGAAATTAGAAAGCAGAGACTAAAACCCAGGAGGTGGCAGGGCCAGACTTACCAGCTGCCTGCCTTGGTTCTCAAGTGAAACTGTCAGCTGTCTGGGTCACTCAGGCCTCTGCATGTAGTGAACCCGCCCCCCCCCCCCGGAAAGGCCATCCTGCACCCACTTCTCATCTGGTGAATTGTGCCCTTGGGTGCAGGGTGGGGATGGAGGTGGCCTGGGAGCTGGGGCTTTAGGTGGTAAGACCCCCAAGCTCCGCCCAAACCACTCTTGCTTCCGCTTCCGTTTTCACCTTCCTCTGGATGCTTTCCACCCTTGAGCTGAGGGGAGGGGAGCTGTAATCTCCAAGAGTGGCTGGAGGGCTGGAACGGGGCACCCGTGCTGCCCATCTGACCACTGTGTCTGCTGTACCTCAGGGCACCTCCATGTGGGGGGAGCATGGCCCAGGTGGGCGGACTCACCCACTCTCCCCTCCAGGGCTGAGCAAGGAGCCAGACGCTTCGCGGGCTCCCCGGGCGCGCACAGCCTTCACCACAGTGCAGATCAGCACCCTGGAGAGCGCCTTCCAGCTCCACCAGTACCTGGGCCCCCAAGAGCGGAAGAAGCTGGCTAGACAGATGGAGCTCACAGAGGTGCAGGTGAGTGCGGCCCAGAGGAGGGACTGGGCAGAGCAGGGGCGGCCTTCCTCACACCCGCCTGGTTTGCTTCCCACAGATCAAAACCTGGTTTCAGAACCGCCGCATGAAACAGAAACGCCAGATGCAGGACTCGCAGCTCAGCACGCCTGTGTCCGAACCCCTTTATGCACCTCTGGCTGTCTATCCACCATCTCCTGTCTGGGGCAGTGGTCTGCAGCTGCTCTGCCCTGGCGGACCCCTGCCCGTGCCACAGGCTCTGGTACTGCCTTCTGGCTCCTGGGGTCCCCGCCCAGTGGAGCAGGCTCCGCTTGCCTCAGCATGGGGTATCTGCAGCAGACAGCCCCTGTCATGCTATTTCCCAGAGCCTGGGGGTCAGGCAGCAGCCTCCTCCGGGGGCCTCTGGGGTCTGTGTGCTCTGCGCGCGACCCGGGAGGCCTTTTGTGGAGCGTGGCAGCCCGGGAAGCCCAAATGGGAACAAGTGCACACAGCTGTCCACACCCAGGAAGTATATGCAAAGCCCACCATTGCCTTGGAGAGATACTAGGTGTCTGTGTCAACATGACCACATCCCTCTGTGTGTGTGTGTGTGCGTGAGAGAGAGAGAGAGAGAGACAACCCACGGAAGGTCCTCTACCCTGACCCACCTCAAGACCCCGTTTTACAGCTGGAGACATTTTGACACCACCCCATCACTAACAACTAATGAGAGGAAGGTCAGTTCAAGGGGTAAGCTGTGGATCAGGGACGAGCGTCCAAGGCTAACACAGACGCGTTACACACAGCAGTTTTAGCACATGTTAGGGTATGATTTACTCTATAAAAGGTGTTGGGAAAAAGAAAGGAGGGCCGCTGGACTGTAAGCTTATCAGTTTGTTCTGTCAAAAGGAGCCTGGGAACTATGAGAGGGTAGGGGGCTGTGTCCTTACAACCTCGAGTTTTGGGGGCCTCTGTGAGAGAGCCACCAAAGCAAGAAGCTGCAGGGAAAACATGCCCATTTGGCTTCTGGGAAGTTAAAGCACAGGGTGGCATCTACTGCATGGTGGTGGGACCTTCCTCTTGGTCTTTCTGTGCCTTTGCTGAGGATCTGAGCTGGGCCCTCTCTGCTCAGGTGTTCCTCCCTGCAGGGTGGGGCCCAAACGCCCTCCTGCCCGTGGCCTCCCCATGATGAAATGGGCAGAGGGGATTGGAAGCCATCCTGCAGAAAATCTAGACATGCTGATGGGCAGGGCTCGCGGGATCCTTGGGCCTCTAGAAGCCTAAGTACATCCATCAACGACAAGATGTCCTGACACGAATAAAGGCGCAATGCTTCTGTAAAGTTTATTTGCAGAAATACATCTATCACACTGTTAGCAGTCTCTGGATTGCTAAGACTCCTCGTTGTGTGTTTCTGTCTTGTTTGAAGTGTTCAGAAAGTCATGAAGTCATGACTGAACATGGCTGCTCACACTGAGATGGCCCTGCGGGGTTTCAGGGGCTTCTGTTGCTGGCTGAGCACCTTGGAGATCACCTAGGTGTCCAGTGTATTTGCAGATGTGGGCAGGGGTACCCAGAGCAGAGAGGAAAAGGGCTTGCAGGCACATGCTCCTCCACTCACCAAGCCCCTTTTGTGGTCCCCAGTCACCACTGCAGGTGGCGTCCACACAGGTGCTGTTTGAGGTGCTGCCTCCCCTGGGGTGGGGAGCCGGCCAGGCACAGCCTCTGCACCCCCAGGCTGATGCCCCTGGGAGCATGGTGTGCAGGGCTAGGGACCCCCGTCCCATGCCTGACACTGGGTTAGGCCAGGAAGGTGTTCCTCCTGCAGCTGGGGGCCCCATCAGCCTCTTCCCCAGCCCTGGGGTCATTTTTAGTTAGCAAGATGGCAAGCGAAGAGCCAGTTCTCCTGTGCCCTAAGCTCCTGGGGCAGACCCACAGGCTACCTTATCCTGTCCCTGTCCTCTGGCCCGCCTCCAGGCACCCCCACCACAACTTAGCAGCCAGCGCTGATGTCTGGACCTTCATGTGACCAGGCTGGCCTCCACTCAGCCACCTGGGGTCCCTACCTGCCTGTCATGGATGGAATCATGTCCCCCAGAACATACTCTAAATCCTCATCCCACACCTGTGGCTACGATCCCATTTGGGAGCAGGCTTCCTTTGTGACTGAAGCCGGTTCAGAGTAGGGTGGCTTTGGAGTCGGTCTCTTGAGATAAATGCAGATTAAGCCAGGAAGCAGATGTGGGAAGAGAAATGCCATGGGAAGCTCCCCAAGGTGTGAGGACAGAGCCCCAGAGCACTCTCCCCGACTTCCAGGCTCTTCCCACGGGAGGGTTTCTGTTAAAGCCACCCCCTCGCAGCTCGTTACAGCTGTAGCAGGGAACGAGACACCGTCCAAAGTGCCATCACTGCTTCCTACCCAGCCCCAAGGGCGCTTCTCAGGGTGTTAGCCGAGAAATGTTGGGGGGAAGGCAGAGCCCGGAGGGGGGTGCTGGAGAGGCTGCTGGGCGGACCTTTCCGTGTCTCTCACCTGGGAGATAATGAAGGGGGAGCCGGACAACCACAGAGCTCCAATATTTGGGGAGGGTGAAGATCTGGAATCCGCAGCTGCCTGCCGTAAGATTTGGCTGATGAATCCGCGTCACCGGCCCAGCCCCGCCTTAAGAACGCCCTTTCAGGAAGTATAAAAACCAGTAAGTTAGGCGGTGGGTGGTCCTCTGGTCCCCAGTCTTTCCACTCTTCTTGGAGACGCCCATTCCTATTAATGGCCCTTCCCACTCACGGAGGTCCATTTCTCCTAGGCAAACACCAGCTGTCAATAAAGGCTACTACTTGTGTGATTGGGAGCTCTGGTAGCATAGTGGCTAAGACACTTG